CCCACTAGGCTACTCTCCATCACTAGGTGATTTGGCATGCACCTGTGATCTAACCCGATGTATACGGGTTCTGGCTGATAGGCCTGCTTGCTCGCCTATCTCAGGCTGTTGAAGGTTCTCACATGGTGAAGGACTCTTCTCTTTGACCCAGACTGGCCGACCTCTTGCCACTCTCCAGCTGCTTCTGGAATGCTCAGCATCTTTGATCCAGTCGGATTGGTGGCCCTCTCGGGCTGCTTGGGAATCGGCAAAGCCTGCTCTTCTGCCTTATGGGCTCGCTGCTTTTGCTTCAATAGATAGTTGCTCAGGGCGACCACCTGCTCTTGCGCAGAGGGCTTCTCAGCTTCAACCTCCTTGCTCTGCTCCTTGGCCTTTTTCAAGGCCAATTCGTGCCAGCGCGCCTCCTTCTGAGCAGAGGCAGCTTTGATCTCCAGCCGCCCGACCCAGGTTGTTGCGTCCTGATCGTAGGCCTCATGCGCCTTGGCGGCCACAGTTGTAGCCATTCTCTCCAACAGCTCCATCACCCCAGGAGCTTGGAGAAATGTTGCTATCATACCCGGCTCCACCGGTGCTTGTGTGGGGGCCTCCCCTATTTCTTCCATTAGCTGGCTCTGCACCTTAGCCTGCATCTGACTAGCAGATGGCCTTGCCGTGTCCTCCCGGAATGCCCCCTCATCGTCTGACCTTCCTTTATGGGATGCTTCCATACCACCAGCGTCTATTGCCAGCGCCCCATCTCGGGCTGCTGATTTGGCCACTTCCGTGGCCAGACCCTCACGGGTTGCTTTCTTTGATTCCTCAGCCTCCATGGAGGAGGCCGGAGATGGAGTCCTCTCGTGCTATCCTCGCCTTCACGTGCAGTTGAAGCGGGTGAGCCACCCCCAGGTGGCTCCAAAACCAAATGATACAACACCATTAGTGGTATGGGGCGCCTGCACTCTTTAAGCCATAGACCCGCCTCGCCAGACACATAGGTCTTGACGGGGACGTAGGCGGGACCACCTTGACCTACTCCCATATTGTATACTAGTATAGGGTCCGGTTCGGGATCTGTTATTGTATCTTGGGCAGGGCATCTCCCACACCAAGAGACCATTAGCAGGGCGTCCCCCACATTAGGCCTATGTGCATTACAAGAATGTTTCTCAAGCTGTGTGGGGACGATTACATGAGTACGCATGTCAGCAACAAGCACAAGTAAACCACAGGATGAAGGAATGGTGTATCCAGCGCACATTGAGGGCAGCGGACAAAGTGTGGTTGTGGAACACAAAAATCGAAACTTTGAAGAACAAGCTCAAGCCATGGTGGAGGGGTCCGGGGCAGATAATTTGCTCTATAGTGAATGCAGTTTGGGAGGTGCTTGCGCCAGAGGGGGAAATTTAAATTAGGAACACAAACATGATTAGGTTGTACAGGGATACAATATGAGGGCTGAAGTTATTAAATGAGTGATTGTTTAGGGTAGGGAAGGGTGTGAGGGCAATGAATATATGGCAGATAGTTATCAGGTGATTAGTGTTGAATATAGTGTGATTAGAGGTATTGTGAACACGGCGATAAAAGCATGGTGAATATGGGAAAAGTGGTTGACTAAATGGGGACATTTCCTGTGAACACTATTGGTTGATGTGGTTGTCTTGTAATGTATCAACTTGTGGTCTCACTTCCTGTGCCTGAGAAGCGACCATGTGCGAGCACATGTGAAGTCGTTCGGTTACCCCAACAATGGTCATTATATTTATTTAAAAAATGGCATCGACACTAATTGGTGTGCAAATGCTCATGGACGCCAATGAGACACAACCTTTTGTAGAGTCGCACCATTGCTAATGCATATTACGTATATCACATATCATGTATTATCCTCATGTATTATGGAGAAGGTGATGGCGAAGGGGACGGGGTAGGATTGGCCAGTTGGGTTATAGGTTTGGGCGGTTGAGGGTAACATGTATGGGTAGCTCCCTAGACCCTAAGAGCATCTTTATCGGTCGGCGCTATTGCTCTGGCAGAGCTATTCAGGAACGGTTCTCATTGGCTGCCGTGCCACATTACTAAGGTGGTATTTGCCAAATAGCTTCAAGGCCGTTGTATGTACTCGACCGTTGGGTAGCTGTGTGCTCGAACATGGGTGCGATAGTGTGGCTGCCAGGGCTTGGAGACGGCGATGAAGATGGCGGAATCGCATGGGCTGCGTTGCACTGCTTGCACGGCAGTGGCCTGCGTCAACATGCATGGAATATGCATGCCGGCAAGGGGCTGCGATGAGCACCAGGGACATTTGATGGCGGACGATCGTTGACACTTTGTGAAACCTGGATTCAAGTGTAACGACATTCGGTGGTTGTCAATCCTATGTGTGCACCCAAGATCGTTGGGTTTGAAATGGATCCGTTGGCTGTGAATCGCTGTGCGAATCTATCGTTCGAAGCGTCAAGGTGTCCCTTCTCCTTGGAAAGAGATATTGAGAGCTGAACCTAGCTAGTGAGAGGGGTCGTCATGGCACATCACAAGCCAATAAGTAATACCAGCTAGGGTAAGTTGCATGCTGAAAAGTGACGAGTAGTCGTGGACAGAAAGCGAAATCCATGGCCAGGTCTCAACTATAAGTTGCATGCTGTAAACTCGTCGATGTGCTTCTCATAGTCACCATCAGCCAAGTTCGTGCAATTTCCGTTCGCTCTCATCGACATGGCAGTGCTGATAGCACCATAAGAGAAAGGCGAAGCTGTGATAGGGCGCCGTAACTACTTTGAGAATGAAGGCAGCCGTCTCAGCTGTAGACACTCCAGCATTTGCACACACACATACATGTACTCAACAAGTCTGGATTAAGAATTCAACATGGTCGTTTAAGACTCCAAGTACTTACAAAAACGAGATGTTACAAATCGTTTGCCATACACAAGATGTTACAAACAACCTGCCACCCTCAACTTAGCTCAATTTCACTAGCCCGCACAAACCTTTGATCAATCGCCCAACGTGACCTCCCCATCGTCGCCCAACCTCAATGTCACTCACCCACACACAGACCCCCCCACAGCCACCCAGCACCACCCCATCATGATCCGAAATCAATATTGCCCAGCTCAATCGCCCGATCTTCTCATCAATCGCTCAACCCCACCTCCCCATCACTCACCTCCCTATGGCTCTGTGATTCAAACGAATCTGAATCATCACCAATTTCCTCCCAATTGCAAGCCCCAAAACTGTTCCACACAGATTCGATTAGGCGGTGTTTCAACCTATTGTGAGTGTTGTTGTCTTGGATGAGGTCCAAATTCCTGATGTCCTGCGGTGAAAGCACGACCATGTCAGTGCTATTCACTGAGCCAGTACACAAGTCAGTGGTGGTGTTAAACATAGCACCCCCTGACCCCTCATCGATGAGCATGTTATGCAGCACAATGCAACAATGCATTGCCTTGGCCATATCCATCCTCTTCCGCAGGCGGCACGGTGTTTTGGTGAATGCAAAGCGTGCTTGCAACACACCAAATGCCCTTTCAACATCTTTTCAGATTACAACCTGCACCCTTGAAAACAACTTGTGTGCTGCGGACAATTGATGGGTTGCCTCTATCGATCCCACAAAAGATCGCCACCTTGGGTAGATTCCATTAGTGAAAACATAGCACAGATTGTGCTTCACTCCATCAACAACAAGTCCACCTAGGGGGGCCAAACGCCTTGCACTATTGCCTGCTTTAAAGTTGACGTATCCAAGACGTTCAGATCGTTGTTGTTGCCAGCTGTCCCAAAATTGGCATGTCAAAATCTCAATTCATCGTCAACGATGGCCTCCAGAACCACAATAAGCTTTCCTTCCCTCCCTTGAAACTACCCTGCCTATGTTGTTGGATAGTTTTTTCACACAAGTTTCATGCAATCGAGTGAGCCTATGCAGCCACACAGCCCCTTGCCTGCAAATTGGTGGGCAATTACCTTTGCCTCTTGTCCATTTGGGTGTCGCACCGTCGATCCAAAGTACCGATCTACAACATGGCAGGTGAAATGCAACAACGCCTAGCGAACACTACCTTCAAACATTTGCAAGTAGTGATCCACTTAGTCAAACACAGCACCATACTTCAACACACTCAAGGCTGCCGCTACTTTTTGTTCCGCCGAATGGCCCATTCTGCCTGTGGCGTCTTACTTCCTCACAAACCAATAATCGTCCGCAATTGCGGATGAGTGCAATCGCCTGAAAAGAGACAACGAAATTGCGAACCTTCTTTCGAACAGCTCCGGCAGGTATATTGGGATGTCGCCAAGGTAGTCAGCATGAAGCGCAGTATGCCCATCCTCCCGTCCCCTCTCGATGTAGCGCCGTTCACCATCAACTTTGTCATCGTCGCTGTCGTTGTCCTCCAGCTCGTCCACAAGTGAAACCATAAGATCCCTGCGCCTCAACCTCTCGATGTCTTCCTGGACGATGATGCCAATCACCTAGATCCACCCTTCGAGATCCACGTCGAAGCCATTTCTATCCATGGTTCGGCTGTCCCAAGGCCCTCCGCTGTCCAAGGGCCCCTCCGCGTTGTTCCAAGCGGCTGCCGCCAAGTGCTGCGCGAATAGCACCGGTGCTATTCTGGGGAGCTATTCAGTCTCGAGCGGAGCTTTTCTGGCCCCGAATAGCTCCGCTGGGCGCCGAATAGCTCCAGGGGAGCTATTGGGGAGTTATTGCTCCCCAATCGTTAATGATGGTTTTTTGACGTGCGGAGCTATTCGGATAGCCGAATAGCTCCGCCGGAACAAGAGCACCGACCGATAAATACGCTCTAACGCCCAACCGACCAAACCTAACGCCCAACAAGCCAATCCCAATCAGCTACATACAGGGGGGCTCTGTGTCCGCGGTCCGCAACGGGAATGGCTCCTGCACATATCCTCACTCGGGTGGGCGCGCACATTGGCTAGGGAGCCGTGCCACGCCGGCCTCAGGTTCCAACCTCGTCGCGCGACCGGAGCGCCCGCCGGGGCTCGCCATGCCGCCCCCCGTCAGCCCTGTGTCCCTCCTTTTGATCCTGGCGGCGATGCCGCTGGCGGTCGGCGCGACCAAGTGCCCATGCGAGACCGAGGACCTGTGCGCGCCGGTTGTGGCTCGCCGTGCCAAGGAGGTGAAGATTGTCTTTTCGGCGGGAAGGGAAGCGTGCCGCGCGTTCCCCATCGCCTTGCTCGATTGAGATTGGAATGCGCGGCGTTGGGGCAGGGTCAGACGTGCCGTAATGTTTGTGGAGCCGCCCACGCACAGGATATGAGCCATGTGTCACAAGCCTATCAAGGCACAACGTTGCCGCTCGCGTCCCCCAACCCCCACCCCTTCTCCAGGCCAATGACTAGGAATGTCGATGGGCTCTGTTGGTGTGAGAGATGATTCAGATAAGCCGATTGCGATGGGCGGGGTTTATGCATGCCAATCAATGCGCAGGAACACAGGTGACACTATGGAACCCCTCGAGGCCGAAATTCTCTGAGACAGTTTGTCACATTGAGGAAATTGATGCTAAAGTCTCTGGGTACAGCGGGTACAGCGTTGCGACACGGCACTAACAGCGGAAATCGATCCGATCGGGAACTGTTGCGTATGTGGGCGTACAAGGTTCTGGTGTGGACAGCCAAGAACAGATTGTGATGTACATCGCACCTGGGGACTCTCAGGCTTGTACGCAATCCCAAGTTGGGGCACAGATCGTATTTGCAGTAGGAGCTTAATGTACTGGCCAGAGACCTGGCACAGTAAATTGTGGCAACCACCTGGTTTTCGACTAGCAACGTGAATGATAACCTGGAGACTTTCTGTACATTTCCCATCATTTGATCATTCATTTGGAGGCACAAACTACTTTTCTCTTTTCTACCAACACAAAGAGAAGCATAAGAATATGGGCCCCTCTGGCAATGCAGGTGTGGGGCTTTGACGGCTCGAACGACACATACCCCTTTGTTGACTGGTCCCAGTTGTCCATGGTGCTGTGGAATCGCCACCCAGAGGTGATGTGTGCCGCCCATGCACATGGCGCCCGTGTTGTGGATGCTGCGCGGCTGACCTCAGTGCCAGATTGGGAGGAAATGCTGTTGGACAAGACCGCGAGGGACACGTGGCTGCTTGGGCTGCTGACGGATGCTGTAGAGAACCACCTGGATGGGATCAACTTTGATCTGGAGGTGCCGATGAGGGCTGGCAGTGCGCTGTGCGATGCCTATACAGCGGCTGTGTCCAGGGCTGCAGACCTCTTCCACAAGGCCATACCAGGGTCCCTGGTGAGCAAGCATTGTGAGTGTCGTTGTACAGGTCTTGATGCACAGCACAAGGGCATCTGTTATTCCATTTTAGGATTCCAAGGCCCTGTTGTTTCTTTTGCCAAGCTGCAGTTGGTCTGTCAGTAGGATTGTGGTGCATAAGGTTTCAGGTTCTTGGTCTCAAATTTTATTCCTTTCACTGGTTTGTCACTTGTTGATCGCTTGGCTGGGGCCCCCCGGGTAGAACACCTTGAATGGCAGCCTCCCCAAAGCCTATGCGCTGCCAAGTCTACTGTTGCAAAAGAGTTGAACCTGCACGGCCAGTAGTCAAGCCCCCTGTAAACTCCCAAGATTTGTTGTTTCTGGCATATGCTTCTGTACACACGTACCAATTCTCTGCATCGCTGCAACCACCTGGTAACCATGTCCAACCGGACTTTGGACTCTGACGTCCACAGTATGAGCAGTGTTGAAGTGTACTCTCCAGGAGCACTCATTGCCCATCATAGCCCCATGGGCACCTGGGTATGATTTTTTATTCCCACAGTTCAATAGTTGGAAGGGCCCCTGCGGCCACCATAGAGCTGGCAACCTGCCAGTAAACACTTCTCCATTCTCCCTGTGCTGAATGATCTAACTCTTTCTCGTAATCAGCACAAAATCTGACATCTTGATCGAGGTATGTGTCACTACCAAATGCAGGTAGCTGGACAGATGGAGGTACATGGTGGTATACAAGATTTGTGCTAGTCAAAGACACCCCACTTTATTAATTCTGCCATGTTTCGACCATCATCGCATTGTATGTGCACGGGCAGTGTTCTGTCCTGTTCTGAGGGATGCCATCAAAAGGATCGGCCCCTCCTACGCTGGGTGGATTGTTGGGACTCTCGATGCCACCCTGTGCATCCTTCCATTTGTGCTGGTTGAATGGGGTGGTTGTCAGCAGTGGACAAAAAGTGAATGCCTGGTCTTGCCCATGTGGTACCACTGCTCACAAATTAATGATGCAGTCTGTTAGGGCTGTAGTTAATTTTCTAGCTTCTTGCCGAAAGTCACAAGGTTTCTATAGCATGTTTGCCCCCTAAACGAGCATTAAAGTACAGTCTCTGTAAGAAGCCATGAAACTAACACCAAGTTCAGACATTGTTCTCTTGACACACTAATGAACAATGCTTTCCTCGGGACTCCTGCTACAGCTCGTTTGGCCAACTGCAGCACAGGAGTTCAGAGCTTCCTGTGTCTTGACAATGGACAACCCATCAGCAACACGTGCTCAGGGCCTATCACTGTTATTCAGGTGTCTGTGGATGTGGCCTGGTCACCCTACAATGTTGATGGCCGCAGCTATGACTACGTCAACCTGGCAGAGGCTGCAGACCTGCTGTTTGTAATGTCATACGATCTGCAGGGTCAAGTATGGGGTAGGTGCATCGCACAGGCCAACTCACCCATCGAGCAGGTGTGTTGATGCCCACCCAAACTTGCTGCACTTACCAGCGATGGCAACATGTGTGGGAGATCAAATTGCAATTTTGACAGGAAATTGCAACATCTATGTTACACATTGCGCCCCACCCTCACCCAGGGGGTACTCCTTTCCGCAATGTGAGTGTGAGACAGGAACAACCTACACCAGAGAGTAGCATGTGAAAAAAGAAATGTGCATTTATGGGTGGGTTTGAAGTGCGTGTAAGTCCTTTGAATACATTTGCCAAACTGTGACAAGACACAGCCTTTGCATATGAAATGCGATATTGGGCATGGGTCCCCATGCATGTTCTCCAGTATACGATCGCTTTGCATGCCAAAGTTCAAGTTAAACAGCTTGGGGAGTTGTTGGGTGGCGGGATCGGCCACCCTAGCATGAGCCAACTACTTTAGCCCCTTGTCTCAATGCAGGTGACTGGGATGGGATTTCCAAAAATAATGATCCCAAGCAACTGATGTCCAGTCGTCAGTGTGCCTGGTTGGACGAGTTATACAAGCACAGTCTGGTCACAAGCAAGCAACGACAAAGACCAAACCTTCTTGCGTTTGTGAATGCAAGGGCAGTGTTATTTGACACGCGGCACAGGGAGTCAAAACAGAATATGCCTCCTGTGTGTGGCATCGCTTCCACTGACGCGCTGTGGAATGGACTGCATGTGACCCAACCGGATTGACAATGTCAACAAGGCAGTAATACCATGATCTTTGGGCCATTGCCACCATTTGTGTGCGATGCGAGTTAAATTGATTGGCTGCTTGGATCGCAGAACATGGCTTCATCTGGCCTATTGTTGCCAACAGGTCACGTTTGACAGTGGTTGAGGGGCCTAGCATGTTTATGCGCTAATTTTTTGTTTGATTTGCCCATGGGCTGAACACACAATGCACAAATATAGAAAGCTCCGTGCAGAATGTGACTTCTACATTAATTTTCAGGATGGGAAGGGCATCCACCGTTCAGCAGGAAATGCCCCTTGCATTACCCATTAGTCGGCACTGAAGCGATATCCCTCACGTTCTGCGTGGAGCGTTTTAAGCTCAAGTCAAGCGTTGCATCACCAACTTATCGATGCATCAAACAACACAATACGTGCATGGGTCACAAATGGCCCAATCGCTTGCAAGAAAATGGCTCCACAGTGGTGCGCCTCATCATCAGCAGCAGCAAAACTCGTTGATTACATTTGCCATGAAATGACAAGGCACCGCCCTTGCACCTGATAGGCGTTGTTGGGCATGAAAAACAAACGAAGGAATTGTCGAGAGTCGATTGTTCATGGTCGCATGGCCACACAATCCCAGAGCCCGGATCTGTCTGCAGCCCCTTGGTCCCATGAAGTGCTCCTCATGGTGCATCCACTGCAGGTGGAGCGCGGCTTGTATGAATTCCTGCACATGGGCATCCCTGCCAGCAAGCTTGTCCTGGGTGTCCCATGGTACGGTTATGACTACCCGTGTGTCACTGCCATGGACGGCCGGGGCGCTGAACTGGACACCGACTTCTGCCCTATCGACCACCTGTCATACTTCAACTGTTCATGCAGCGATCTCGCTGGAGCCCAGACCAAGTACAAGTGAGTGGCATGCGTTCCTCTCTGCTCTGGTTTGTTTATCTCACTGGCTTCAATCCCTGATGGAAACTCTCCCCACAGTGTGTTCTTTCAGCCCACTTTTGAACCTGTCAGTGAAGAACACTACTTCCTTTGTCCCAAAACTAATGTCCTCTATGACTTTGGTGCACCATTTCTCCATTATGAATTTTTCCTTTTTCAGTGAAATTTTGTTCAAGGTTGTGCATACGTTTTCGGAGTATACAGTCAAAATTTCAAGCCAATCCATTAAATATTGAGGATTTGGCAGTACTTTGTAGTAAGAGCCCCTCGCCAGGAAACACCCGTTTATCCACAAACTCAGCGAAAATGGCCATTTTGCGCACCTTTTGTGATGGCGAAACAGAGCCGCCCATGCAAAACTATCCATACCATTTGGATAGAATCTTAGAGAGGTCCTTGCGAAGAAGCAAAGTGGCAGAAAACGTGTCTTGGTGGGTTTGATTGTGGAAGTCGCCGTGGCTTCACTGCCCTAACTCGAACTCGATTGGCCAATTCGGGGATGCATTTCTGGCCCAGATTTTTGGGCCGCCACCTTTGAAGGGATAACGCGCAAGGCCTCTCAAGCCCCTCAAGGATGTGCGAAGGAATGCGATGGCCATCACCCTAATCAATGGCAGACGATTAGGGGGAATGGCTTTCAAAGCGGGATGGAGAAGTTGACCCTTGCATCGACAAGTGAAAGGGTGGAATGTGAAGCGCATGTCAGAGATACGAGTTTGTGTCTCTCACACGTAGAGACTAGTTAGATTGCGAAGGCTTGCGGAATCCATGCACAAGCTGGCCGCTAGTGGAAAGTTCTAGATTGTGGACACAGCCACACGTAAAAGTCTGGATTCAAGGATGAATCAAGGAACAACGACAAAGCAGAACTATAGCACAATCTTAGAGTGATAGCCTACATAGAGCCCAGGCTTGGGCATCTTGGGTGGTGGCCTTTTCCGCTTGTTGCAAGTCTTCGCATCGGAGATCAGGGAGGTGGCGATTTCCGCCATGGTCGACGCCATGACAACAGGCTTTTTTGATGGGGATCTAAACGTGGTTGAGCGTGTTTGGCAAGCGCCATACCATGTGAGGGGACACTGCCCTTCACGATGATGGCAACAAAGACTTTGCTTTGGCACTTCTAGGTCGGGAGCGACCCAGAACCGTGCGGATGTCCAATCGACGCCTAATCAGAATGCACAATTTTTGGCCAAATTTAAGGCAATTTTGAGTGGGCCCCAGAGTTAATGGGGATGAGTATTTTTTATAAAATTGGTAGTTAAGGGTTTGGGGACCCAATCTTTCGATTCTGACCTTATTTGTACTTTGAAGTCTTCCTTGTAACGAATTTTGTCTTTCAAATGGACATTTAATTTGGGATAGAAGAAATATGCATTAAGGCAGAGGCGCAACCATCAGCCTGCTGTTCAGCTGAGAATGGCATCGATGAATCATGGGATGATAGCCAACGGTTTGCACTTGTATCAATGAGATTCCTGTGTGGCAGATGTGTCAATTCCTTAAGTCATGTAATGTAGAGGTGCGTTTTCCTTTTCCTGCCTAGAGTGCGGGAGTTCACATTCTGCAGTTGGAGAAAACAAAGGCGTCGCGATTCTCACGCGAAACTTTAGAATGTGCTGACGGCATGCACATGGTATGTTGCCTAGTACCTGATGGGAATTTTCCACGAATGGACCAGTCCATCAGTCGATCAGCAACGGGCCAAGAACTCGGTCAAGAGTATGCACTTTGAAACAGACAAGGAGGTTGCTGCCAGATCCCGATTTCTAACCTTGGTTTGTCAGCAATGTAATATTTGCAACGTCGGGCTCTTGTCTTGCTTCTAGTTTGATTCGAGCGGGCAACTTGTTGTGTGGCCACAGATATCCTTAATCACCTTATGTATCAAATTTGGTGCAATACTTTGTTGTGCCATGTGTGACAGTTGCAACTCAAGGATTGCCGTCCTTTGTTTCAGTGCACACAGCAGTAGCATGGAACAGAAACGCATGCCAAGAACTCAAGAAGCGCTGCCTCTGCTGATAATTCGCAACGGTTTTGCGCATTTGTCACATTCCCAAACTGCTCGCGTGTTTGAGTGCCGTCTTGCCCTCAGGGACATCATGGCCATCTACGACACCAACCGCACGACGGACATCCGGTGGGAGCCGTACCTCAAGGCGCCGTACTTCAACTATAGGGATGGTGCCGGCGGCGTCCACCAGCTGTGGTTCGACAACCCGGACAGCCTGACCCTAAAGTACAGGCTGGCCGCTGAGCTGGGCCTCAGGGGCGTGGGCTTCTGGGCCATGGACATGCTGGACTACGGGAGCGACGATGAGGCCGTGCGGCAGCAGACGGACGCCATGTGGCAGGCGCTGAAGGCATTCACCCAGGCTGGCGGCCCGCCTGGGGTACCCAGTGACGGGGACTGCGAGGCTGACTGGGCGGCGACGTGAGGAGGCTAGAGGGGCTGCGACCTTGGAGATGGCCCAGTGCGCACAGCATGGCCGCCTGCCCAATCGGCAAGGAAATGGGGCGCCCTGAGGTGGGGAGGCGGGCGTGGCGTCCGTGCATCGTTGACGGTGCCTTTGTTGGGAAGAAATTGGAGGATGGCGGCAGCCTCCTTGCCTTGATGTGCGAAACTTCGTAAATGCATGGCGTCCCTGCCTCGCCCAAGAAATGTGGCGTCAATCCATCGCTCAAGGTTCTGCGCTGGTGGTCGACCAGTGTCGGTTGAAGAGCGCAGCCAGCATATGGTGTTTGGGAATAGATTGTCGGTGACGCTGCATCAGAAGAGTCGCCAGCGCAGGTGGGCAGTTGAGGTCCATTCACATGGTGGGTGGCGATGCAAGTCTGCTTCAACTTCAGTCGCCAAAATTGACGAGTCGCTGCTGTTGCACCCCAAGGTGACAAACAGGTTTTGGAAGGGCATGGGATATTGGTGACGCGGGTGCACTTGCCCATTGTGTGGGTTCTGATCCATGGACGACATCGTGCATGGCCCGCGCTCGAATCAAATAAAGTTCTTTGGGTGGCAGGAAATGAACACTCTCGAACAACCACCATTCGTGGATTCAAGCCCGTCGTTGCCTTCCAGCCGCAAGGGCAGCGTTCATCATTTCTTCGCGAATGTAATCGAAAGGGCGGAAGAACCATGCGACTGTCAGTGGATGACCCACATGGCTTGCTGACAAACCTGAGGGCTGCCTGGTGGGCAAGTTTAGAGCTTCGATCCGCCTTCATTCAGGCTTGAACGCTTTTTCCCGCATCGGGGAACGATGGCCCAGCACAAGGCTCCGTGTGGAGCACGGGGTGTGCGTCGTCCAGTGAAGTGCACCATCTGGACAAGGGGGTTGCACTAAAGCAAGGGTTGCAAGAGTGGCAGCTCAGAAGGCGAGACGGCAAGAAGGCGATGGTTGCTGCACGAGACAGCAAGCGAAAGCACAGCAGACTGTTGGCACAAGCAGCAACCAAAAAGAAAAGCAGACTACCGACCCAACATCACCAAAACTATGGGTGAAGTCCAGTGGTCCATGGGCCACCCACACATCGGGAGGCCCGCACAGCACACCGACAGGAGTCCTGTATCAGAGTACTCGAAATCGCAGGTTGCATGATGGACATGGCCCACCGCCACCACGCCCAGCTGCGCTCAACACGCACTTGTGGGCGCAAGGAACAACCCGTTTGTCCAGCAATCGACTGTCCAACGCCGACAAACCGCAATTTCCAGGGTGGCCAGCCGAACTGCAGCCCAGGCACCTCTGCTGTCAGGACCCCACCTCTCGTTCACATATCGTCTGTAGCACCTGCACCCGCCCTGCCCACACACCACCCTAATCCTCGAGGTTGAGGTGCTGTGAACACGCCCGATGGCAAGACAGCTCTGCACTGCCAGATGGGAATCCAGCGTCTGGCAAGAAACCGTGGATGGCTCAGAACTGGGTCGTTCCGACCTGCTGTCAGAAATGCCCACATCCCAAGGTCTGCATGTCGAGCCTGTCGACCGTGTCCCACCCCCACCCCAGCACAATTCCCACCTCAAAAATACTGGTCTCCAATTGATGCAAGCCGTCTCCTCCCTGGCCCTTCAACTACTAGTACTAGACATCCTGTTGCCTGAAGCAGCGCATTCCCCAGCTATTTGACGTTCTTTCAAGGTATTTGCCCTGTGCTACCCTGTACCAGCGTTGCCCATGCCAGTGTATGCAGCACTTGCCATGCCTGTTACGACGCTTTTGCTGTCGGCGCTACGTCCTGCAGCCCATAACATACGATCCACGATATTGTGTTCCAATGCAGCGCAGCCCAGAAAGCAGTGCACGCATTCACTGCCATACCCCTCAGCATCAGCACGCTTTGCAACACCCATCACTGCAGCGCTGAAAAAGGGAGCAATTTTGTGGCATTTCCATGTACATGCATGCATGCACATGCGAAATTCAACTTGATGCACGAGTGCAATCAAAGTATGTGCACATGAGCGGGCGCCAAAACGCAGCGCGCTCAGTCTCACAGCTGAGCGATGAGGGCGGCTTGTCTCAGAACGAGTGCCACAGCACATGCAATCAAACAGGCCAACATATCTCCATCCACTCCACTACTGTCGGCGCCCGGGGCAGCATCGCCTTGTGAAAATCTATATGTGAAAGGCCCCAGCACCACCACCCCACCCAGCCATCCTCACCACCACAACACTTTGTGGCCAATTCCGCAGCACCACTTGCACCGCCTCTTGCAGCGTGGCTCAGTGAGCTGGCTCCCCTCGCACCCAGGTCACGAGGAGAAAGGATCGTCCAAAAGAGACGTGCCCAGCGATCCTGGAATACCGGCCAGCAGGTCGCTCCCCGGGTCAACGATCTGGCTGCCAAACCCGGCTGAAAACAGCCCAGGCGTTGCTGTTGTCTCCAGCGGGAAGTCTGGCTGTCCGCTCAAAGCCCCCTGTCCACCTAAGCTCTGCTGCCTCCCCAGGCTTTGCTGCCTCCCCAGGCTTTGCTGCCTCCCCAGGCTCTGCTGCCTCCCTAGGCTCTGCTGCCTTGCCAAGGGCTGCTGTCTAGCCAGAGCCTGCTGCTGCCCAGCCAAAGCCTGCTGCCCCCCCGTCAAAGTCTGCTGCCCAGCCAACGCCTGCTGCCCGGCCAACGCCTGCTGCCCGGACAAAGCCTGCTGCCCGGACAAAGCCTGCTGCCCGGACAAAGCCTGCTGCAAGGCCAAAGCTTGCTGTCCAGCCACAACCTGCACACTGGTAGGGCTGACCATCCCAGCTGAATCCACTGATTTGATGCTCCCCCGGCTGGGCACTGCGTTCACTGGTATCATCGTCGACATTGGCTGGCCTGGCAGCTGCCCACTCTTGGTGGCGTGCAGCATGCGCACTGGGTTCCTGACGCCAAACATAGTGGGGTTGTCCATTTTGGTAGCCTCGCTTGGCAGGCTGGCAAATGGCGAAGCACCTGGGCCCGACGCTGGCACCGAATTTCCCGTGCTGTTGTTGGGGCTGCTCATCATCTCCACGGGTACAAGGCCCTGCGCCGCTGCCAGCGAGGAGCTCCTCACAGCCTCTGGGTTGACGGTGCGGACAGACACGAGGCTGTCCATGGACGACTGGGTGGAGGTCAACTGGCCTGGCAGGGTGGCGTGAACCTGGCCAAGGCCGGCGGACACCTGCCCCGCGATCTGCACCCCACTGTTAGAGTAGCCCAGCAGTCCAGCGTTGTTTGCTTGGCCCGACAGCGTCTGCACAGGGAGCATGCTGCCCACAGGGGAGGCTGCGCGGAGGTTGTTTGCCAGGAGGCCAGGCCCCACTAATGTAGACTTCTGCTGGGGCATGACTGGCCTGCTTGCTCCAGGCAGCAAGCCATTCCCAGCAGCCCCAAGCGAAGCAGGCTGGCCACGGCCAGGCAGATCTGCGCTGGCAAGGGAAGTAACTGCACCCGAGGGCATGCCCCCAAGACTGTTGGCTTGTGAAACAGCAGTCGCCGCCATTGCTGCCCTTGCCTGCTGCTGCTGCTGCAGCTGCTGTTGCAGCTGCTGTTGCTGTTGCTGTTGTTGTTGCCTCTGCTGCAGCTGCATCCTCTGCATCTGTTGCAGCTGTTGTTGTCGGATGAGCTGTTTTTGCCTCTGAACAAACGGCAAACTTGCCATTGTCAGCCTCCACTGCCCGAAGTGTAAGTCACACGCAAACAATGAGCCGAAATTGAGCCCTAGCCGACCTCAAATTGTCCAGGTGTGACAAAGACGCTTTGCTTGATACCTTTGGGGAAGCTTGAAGAGGGTAGGGTGAGGTCATGCACACTCTCTCAGATCACCCAGGCTTGCAGTTAAAGTAATGTCATCAGAGCCAGTGCACAGCAATGGACAGCAACATCACTCCCAATTACTGATATCCACGCTTTGTTGGCTGGTGGTTTACTGCTGACGCTGAAGGTAAAGTTGCGTGAAGACGCACAGAATTTTCGTCGGGCATTGCTGAAAAACTGTCCATTTTGAGAATCCCATGGATGGTCCTTGAGTTCCCGCTACAGGGGTGCCACCATGCTCCACATTGTACCAGGCCCGGGAGACACTGGGACTGCATGGACTCACCTTCACATACAGCTCCTTCACGATCTGCCTCCTCTGCTCCAGGGGAAGCGCAGAGAGCTGCTGCTGCTGCTGGGGGGTGAGCAGCTGCTGCAGCTGGACCTGCTGCTGCAGGCTCGGGCTGAGGTGCCTGGTGGCAACCCCCGGCTGCGACGCCAGACCCTGTGGCCCGCACTGCGCTGCGTGCACCCCGCCCAGCGGCGCGTTGGCCACCAGCTGGCCGCGTTGCTGCTGCTGTTGTTGCTGCTTGTGCATCAGCAGCTGCAGCAGGTGCTGCTGCTTCTGGAGCTGGTGCTGCTGGTTGGCCACGCGGCTCTGCGCCACGCTTGCCGCCTGCACCTGCGCAGAGCGGGCGGCCAGCTGGCGCTGCTGCTGCAGGTAAAGAGCACAGCAGAAGGTCAGGTGCAGCTGGGCGCACGCATGAGCATGGGCTCGGGTTGGTTTGTGACGGCCACGGCTGTAAGGCGGACCGGACCACAGCCATCACGCAATCATGCGACTTTCCAGTCCTCGCGGCGGCGGCTGTCGGCAAGGTAGCTCGCACGACGGCTCCATGCGAACGGAGGCGCACAGTCTTGGAGCGCCAACTGCGGCAGCCCTGCCACGGGGCCATTCGCCAGACGGAGTTCGGATATCGCAACCCCGCTCCCCCGCGCTCGGCCACAAACACGGTGCGCATCCCCGGCGGCCGCCACGGGGCCACATCAATCCTCCCAAAATGCACACAATCGTCCGCATCGAATGCCAAATCGCACGCGCCAATCGAGGCGGCATCGAGTCGAACCCCGCCCGAGCCCCCCTCCCCGCTCACCTCCAGCCTGAGCAGCTCCCTCCGCTGCGCGACCTGCTGCGGCGTCAGCGGCGACTGGTACGCCCCGGCGCCCGGCCCCAGGCCGGCGGCCCTCCCGGCCCCGTACCCGCCCTCCGGCCCGCCCATCCCCCTCCCCTCCTCGGGCCTGATCTTCCTGGGCCGCCCGGGGCCCCTCCTGGGCGGCGCCAGCCCCGCGGCCTCAAGCAGCTTGGCCAGGTTCCTGTTGGGCGCGCCCCTCTGGACGCGATACCGCCTGGGCACGGCGCACCCCAGGGGGCACCAGCCCGGTCGGGCCGCCCTCCCGCGCCTCTCCCCGGCCCCTCCCTCCTCCCTGGGCCTCCCCAGCCCATCCCCCTCCCCCCTGCCGCGCTCCCTCTCTCTCCTGCGCCGCTCCTTGGCCCGCGCCCGCTCCTCCCGCGCACGCCGGTCGGCCACCTCCTCCGCCTCCCGCCTCCTCTCCGCCTCCTGCCGCTTCTCCGCCAGCACCTGGATCCGCGCCGACCGCTTGCGCAGGCCTTCGTCGAATTCCTCCCCCTCGCCCTCCCCGCCCCCGTCGCCACCCCGGCAGTCCGTCGCCGGCCGGATGCCCTCCAGGCCCCCCTCAGGACCGGGCGCCACCTGGTACCATCACCGCTCGGGGGCCAAAAAATTAAAAATTTACAGTTTCCCCAAAGTACCCAGCAGCCTTCCTTTAAGCCCGCCAATCTACACACAGCCACCAAGCCCCTCCCCTCTCAGCCGCCCCGGGCTCCAACCCAGGCCCGTGTTGCGAAATTGAAGCGGCCAGGCTCAGGCCAGGGGCATGGTGAGGGGCCGCATCGCCGTGGCGGCGGCCGGGCGGGGATGGTCGCTCCGGAGGGAGGTCTGCGGCGGCGTGGTGGCGCGGCGGGGGCTGCGCAGCGTGGCGAGGGTGCCGCCTTGCCTGGCGGATTCAGTCATCCACTCTGTCTGCGCGGCGGCCCGCTTGGGCCCTCAATCAGGGGCGCCACGTCGGCGCCCATTTGAGGGCGGGCCCGCCCATCCACCCTCCTTAACCGCCGAATCTTATCCGCATGCCGGCCGGGCCCGGCTTTCTTGCCCGGCCGGCCAATGACGTGCCGGGAGACCACTTTTCCGGGACAAAAGGCTGCCAGCGCCGGACAAGGTTTACCGGGAAAGGCAACCGCATTCCCGGCTCCGGTAAAAGGCTGGGACACTGTATGACCCGGAGCAGGAGCAGCGGAGGGCCCGGGGAGGGGGCGCTCACCTGCCTGGCCGCTTCTGCGTGACGCGCCACCTAGAGGGTGCGGCTTGGAACTTCAGGCGGAAAGTACTGGAATGACAAATCCTGGGTTGGGGAAGAGAGGTGGTTGCGAAGCCACAGGTTCACAGGCACGACGCAGTGAGAAAACGGAGCCCAAAACAGGCGGGCCCACGAAATAATGTTACTGCCTGCACCAAATCGGTGACTGCTTGCACCGAATCACGTGCACACGTGTCCTAACCTCAGTTTTAGGGTTGGGTTTAGTTTTAGGGTGAGTTTTGGGGTAAGGAATAGGTTTAGGGCAGGTTTGTTTTAGGATTTAGGGTTTAGGTTAGGTAAGTTTTGGAGGGAGTTGGTGCAAGCAGTCACCGATTTAGTGCAGAAAGTCACCGATTTGGTGCAGCCAGTAATTGTATGCCCGGGCCCACGCTGCAATTACAATGAGGCGTGGGATGTCCGATGCTTGCGCACAGCAGGGCCATAAGAAGGTCCTGCTTCGGCTGGTGACGAGCCAACCGCAAGAGAGGTCAGGAGCAAAAGAGCGCACTGACAGCTGGCGAGCACAGCAGGGAGGTTCAACATCATGCTTCTGCACCCATGCCGTCGTAACGTTTACTCTGCTCGGACGTTCGTGGGTCCACATGGTTCATGTCCCTTTGTGGCAACTGGCTGTAAGAGGCCCGTCAGTGCCATGCAGGTGCAACAGCAGGGCTGCGGCACATGGGCACAATCAAGTGGATCCACGGGGCCCAACAAGAGGCCCAACATGGCCACAACCACAGCACGCAGCTACTCGATGCCTGGCCCCATTCCTGAAGTAGTAAGCTCCTTACGGGAGACGGAATCGGGCCGGGGACAAGGCCAGCCCTAGGAACAAGCCACGGTGATGAGCACAACAGGTTAAGGGCCCTTGCCAGCACCCACCAGCACGAGTCCCTGCTGGCAGCGACCCTGCCGCAAAACTCCCCTACATCGCCTTGCAAGCGGCCAGGTGTAAATCGTCAGAATTGACGAATGAATTCAAGGCGCTGCAGCCCACCACAAACGTGCCAATCCCAAGCCACCCACACCCCAGACATGCACACAGCGAGCCCACCCTCTGTGTGCGCACCCCGTGACGATGGCACTACCCAAATCTTGTGTGTGATCCCGGTGGTGCCATTCTGGCCCTCATCCCTCCTGCTCCTCATCGTCATCATCATCATCTTCATCGTCATCGTCCTCTTCCTCTTCATACTCGCAAGGGACCTCCCCATCCAAGGGGGGCTGCACTGCATTCTGGCCTCGCCCCTCAGCGTATGCCGCCTCGTCATACCCCTCGTCGAAATCGTCCTCGTCACCTGCCACAGACAAATAATTCTGTTTCAAACGGCTCGGTCCCTTGCCACAAACACTCATCAGCACCTGGGTGGAGACTCCCTAGCCCCTTTCACTTTCCTCTCCACCTTGCACACAGATGCATCTCTCGCTAGCCTCTGGTCAGGAAACCTCCCATCCACCAAGTGCACTGCCTGCAGACTGTGTGGTCCCAGAGATGGTGCCACGACAAAAGAGACTAAACATATCCAGGGTAAAGCCTGACTGTTAGGTTCCAGACAAAAAAGCCTAAAAACATCCAGGGTATAGCCTGAATTTTAGGCTTCCAGACCAGAGCCCATCCAGGTAGATCCACACGCCAGATGCCCAGGTTTGAAGAGCTCTGCTGCCCTTTTCTGCAACACGGTGAAAGGGCACTTCTTCCGAAACCAACTTGCTGCACAGCAGTCCAGGTCTCCTGCACCCCAACCCCCCCGCCTCCAAGACACAAGCGATGCCGGTTCTCAACTCTCTCAACAGGGTCATGCACCGATGCAGTTCGCAAGACCATCCTCGAAACCACTTTTGCGGCGTTCGGTGTGCCTCACCCCCACCTGGCCACCCCTGGGCCTACACCACCCAGTTCTCACCTTCCTCGTCCTCATCGAAGGGATCCAATGCCCCCGGCGGCTGGCTCACGTAGCCGTCAAAGTCCTGAACAGAAACAAACACACACGCGGACGTAATCAAGCGATCCTCGCCGCCACTCCGACCAAACATACCGCTGAATACCGTCATACAGCCGAGGCAAAGCTTACCCGTCCAGGAAACGGCGAAGCCGGGGCACGGGCGCAGAGCGTCATGCGGCGCAGCAGAGAAGCTGTGCCACCCTGGTGGCACAACACGACCATATCCGCCCACTAACAATCCACACACTCGCAATCGCTGGTCACAGCCGCCACTGAGCGCAACTGGCGAGAGGCGAGGGAGTAAGAGCGGGAGGTCGAAATCGAACCGCGGCGGCCCGCGCACGCGGACCCGCACCTCCAGGTCGTTCTGGTAGTATTTGTGCGGGTTGGGCCAGATCTCGTCCTTGATAATGGCCGCGATCTCGTCCTGGTGCCCGCTGTCCAGCGTGCCGGACTCCACGAACCACTGGAAGAAGCTGTAGACGTGCTCCCGGCCGCGCTTGCCGCCCACGGCGGCGCCGTCCTCGGACGGGCCCTGCTGAGCGGAGTGACCCCGTTAGACGCGGAGCATGCGGTGGGGGGGGAGGGGGCCTGCTGAAAGCCGCCACTGAAAAGCGCACCGAGAATCTCCAGAGCGCGAAGCCGAAGGTGGCAAAAAGGGGGTTGGGGCTGGGGGAATGGGCGTGGGGGGACGGGGGGAAATTTTCCTTGCCCGTAGATGTCCGTTAGAACGCGTGGGCGGCAACCGTGTCTGAGGACCGGTGGGGCAAGCGGCCGGGCCGGCGACGGGAGGCCCCCGCGACCGGCGAGCGGTACAGCGAGGTCGGCGGGCCCGGTCGGACGGCGGGGACCCCGGTGGCGATATTCACGCGCCGGCCATGCCGGCCCCCGGGGGCCCGCAAGGAGACCTCGGGACGGACGCCCTCCAGAGCCCCCACCCCCCGACGCTCATCAAGCCCCAGCCAGACAACGTGGACTCGATCTCCGGGTCAAGCATCCCCAACCCCAGCGCCTGACACGGGCGTCGCCCGCGGTTGCCGGAAATTCACCCCTGCGGGAAACGAATTAACGGAGGGGAAGGGGCGGGAGGGAGGAAGGGGGGGGCCCGCACCATGCCTTCCTTCCAGCTGGGCGGCGTCCCGTCCACGTGCAGCGTGCCGTCCTCCGCGAAGTTCACGGACTTCTGCAGCTCAGCGTCCTCGAAGTACGGGTTGGCCTTGAACCGGAAGGTGATCTTGAACCCGCTCTTGATGTCCTCCGAGTCGTCCACCATCACCTGCGCAACAGCGCCCCCATGGTCGCATCCCCTCTGCGAGCGTGCGCGCCCGCCAGGCGGGGGCAGCCATCTGCGCCGCGCCCGGCCCAGCGACAGCTCACCCGGCGGCGACATTGATCTTCTCGGCGCCTCAAAAAACGCTCCGACGGAAGACACGGCATCCAGCGCGCGGCCCCGCCACCGCGACCGCCCGGCGTTTGCGCCATGGGACGCCAGGGCGCTCAGGAAACTAAACTGTCAGCTCGGCTCCCCGGGGCAGGGGGCGGCGGGCAGAGTGGCGGGCGCACCTCGCTCAGGTAGAACAGCGCCTCCTCGTCGTCCTCCGTGATCAGGTCCGACAACACGTGGTGGTTGAGGAAGGCCGTCTTCCAGAATTCGGGTATCTTGGCGATCACCTCGCCGCGCTTCACGTAGATGGGCTTCCGCACCTTGTTGTATTGCTGCTCCAGCTGCAGCACCTTCTCGCTGGCCTCGTCGTTCACC